GAGAGACCGAGGGTTTTTTTTTACTACCAGTATTGTCCGTCGGGAAAGACGCGCGGTAGGTGGCCGAGCGTATGTAGACAGCCTGTACTGTCTGCACAGACAGCCCATGCTGTCTGCCAGCTTAGTTCATATTTCGCGCCACTCAAGTGCTGCCACCTATAGGCCTTGCCACTTCAGTATGCCCAGACTTGCCTCGCTCTCACTCTCACAGCGGCCTGGCATCAACACACAAGGCCTCCCAGCTCTCTCGTGGGCATGGCCCTGCCCGGGCCATGGGCACAAACACACAAGCCTGTGTAACCCACCACTACTTAATAAATAAAGTAAGAAGCCTCCGAAGACGTATATCATTTAACCACCCGCTACCAGCCTACCAAACAACTCTATTATACTCTATCTTACCTCTAATTCTTTCAATAATAACCCTACCGTACACTTTACCTGGTATCCTCAGTAATTTTAAAAATATCTTTTGTCCCCCTTCCCTTTATATAAAGGAACTATACACACACTGCCAATCCAAAGGTACCCCACTCTTTCATACATTTATTAAATAAAAATACCAACCACTCCAACGCTACATCAACCCCCCCTCCCCGCTTCTAACATTTCTGTCATGATCCCGTCAGTTCCAGCTGCTTTACTCCCTTTCATTCTACGTAATGTCTCGCGCACCTCCCCCACACTCACATTCTGCTCTTCTTCACTCCTAAAAGATGTTATCCCCCTTTCTTGACCAGTGCATGAAATTACTGTCTCCCTTTCTTCATCAACATTTAAAAGCTCCTCAAAATATCCACGCCATCTACCCAGTATCTCCAGCTCCCCATCTACTAACTCCCTTACTCTGTTTTTAACTGACAAATCCATTCGTTCCCCAGGCTTTATTAACCTGTTTATCTCACCCAATTTTTTTCTTATTCTCGGCACACACACAAAACACACACATTTAATATATATATATATATATTATATATATATATATATATATATATATATATATATATTTTTATATTTTATATATATATATACACACACACACACACACACACACACACACACACACACACACACACACACACACACCTGCAAGACAAGCCACGGAAGGTGTAAATCTTTAGCTCAAGTACTTTCACTCTCCTCAGTGCGTCGTCAGGAGCAGTGCAATGTTGCAAAGGTAGGGAAATGAGAAGTGAAGGGAAGTTTTTTCAGAGTACGGTAGAGACGGTACTACGCACTTTGATGCAGTGTAGGTTCGAATCCTGCTGTGGACTGAGAGAGCTATGAGAGCAAGAACTCATTTAAAATCAAGTCCTTTCTAAATTTTTATCTTATACATTTTAAGATATATTTTATATTCAACAAGTCGGCCGTCTCCCACCGAGGCAGGGTGACCCAAAAAGAAAATACTTTCATCATCATTCAACACTTCACCTCACTCATACATAATCACCGTTTTTGCAGAGGTGCCCAGAACACAACAGTTTTGAAGCATATACGTATAAAGACATACAACATATCCCTCCAAACTGCCAATATCCCAAACCCCTCCTTCAAAGTGCATGCATTGTACGTCCCATTTCCAGTACTCAAGTCCGGCTATATAAAAATAACCGGTTTCCCTGAATCCCTTCACTAAATATTACCCTGCTCACACTCTAACAGCTCGTCAGATCCATTCACTCCTATCTAACAAGCTCACGCGTGCTTGCTGGAAGTCCAAGCCCCTCGCCCACAATACCTCCTTTACCCCCTCCCTCCAACCTTTTCGAGGACGACCCCTACCCCTCCTTCCTTACCTTATATATAGATTTATACGCTCTCCATGTCATTCTACTTCGATCCATTCTCTTTAAATGACCAAACCACCTCAACAACCCCTCCTCAGCCCTCTGACTAATACTAATACCTTCTCATTTCCACACTCCGAATTCTCTGCATAATATTTACACCACAGATTGCCCTTAAATAGGACAGCTTCCACTGCGTCCAACCGCCTCCTCGCTGCAGCATTTACAACCCAAGCTTCACACCCATATAAGAGCGTTGATACCACTATACTTTCATACATTCCCTTCTTTGCGTCCATGTATAATATTTTTTGTCTCCACATATGCCTCAATGCACCACTCACCTTTTTTCCTTCATCAATTCCATAGTTAACCTCATCCTTCATAAATCCATCCGCTGACACATCAACTCCCAAATATCTGAAAACATTCACTTCTTCCATACTCCTCTCCAATTTGATATCCAATTTTTCTTTATCTAAATCATTTGATACCCTCATCACCTTACTCTTTTCTAAACAAATAGTTTGAACCTTATGGGTCACCCTAGATGGCAATAGCCACGTGAGAATACCTCCAGCCCTGCTGGTACCCAACTTATTCTCATTTTATGTCTTTTTTTACGTGGTGCTCAGCTTCAATTTCTGAACGCTTCCTATTTTTCCTCAGATGCGATATTCTTTATTTTAAATTAGGCTAAGCTAATTTAAGTTAGGTTACATGAACTTGCAAGTGTATATTTACTCACAAATAAGTAAATTACAAAAAAAAATAAATAAATAAAAACCGGCCGCGGATGAGGTGGATGATGAAAAATAGGCAACGTGTGTATTAGACATCAAGAGATAACTCGAGAAGTATCCTAAACTAGGCTGTGATGGATATGTTGCCCTGTGGACCGCTAGCAGTAACAGCCTAGTTGATCAGGCAGGTACCAGACAAGCTTGGCCCAGGGCAGGGCTGCGGGAGTAGGGAAACTTTCGAAACCCCTCAAAAGTATAAAGGTCTAAGATATTATTCTAAACATTTATTCCTTTTGGAGCGCGAGTGAGGTGCATGGTGGAATGTTTGGTAAATCCTCGTCGTCCTACTAGTCTCTCAGTTCAGACAGATTTCATATCCTCATGCGTGAAACTCATCCTGTATGAACTATGAGAGGAAAACAACTAGTTTTTTGTTCCAACCATGTAGCTCGTGGAGTAGTGCAGTCATACACTGCTGTGTTCCCACCATGTAACCTTGTAGAACAGGGTATCCTAACACTGCGGATTTGTTTAACCTTACCAAGGAAAAAAATCCCTGCATGTGAAGATTATTTCCCCTCCCTTCCCTAATTTTCCTCATTCCGGGTACGTGTAATCACACCCAGAATGTGTACCCAAACGGTACTCCCGACGCCTACCCCAACGGGATACTGTATTAGTCATCAAGGGCGGCCTTGAAAGCACGTGCCAGCTTATCCAGTGGCACTAAAGATGACGTTTGTGCCACCCCTCGGGGAAACCCCCAACCCCACCCCAGTGTATCACCACTCAAGCTCTCACACTGGATATACGCAGTCATAATCAACAACAAAGTAAAAATGTATTCTGGCACGCTCAAAAACGACTTACGTTTTAATTTAAAGCTTGCTGGAGAACCATAAACTATGTGTTTAATTAGGGTATTTTTCATTATATAATAATTTCGTAACTAAAGATAACTAAGATCACTAAATGTTTGAAACACGAATGAAGTAATAATGCACAAAAAAATTAAGTTAGTAACAGATTACACTAGCAGAGCCATGGGGCTGGAATGCCGCGATGATCATGCGCTGTTACTTGTATTGCTCGAGTACACGCTGAGAATACCGTAATGACAAAACACCGACATAATCTTGACATTACAATGACAATCATAACATCACACTGACATTTATATCATCAAACTGACAATCGTGACATCACACTGACACAAGCATGACAGAATACCGACGCAATAATGACATCACTGACAAAATTTTGGCATCACACTTGAGGAAAATGATGCAGCTGTAGATACTTGTACTACATGACATCACGCTGCCTGGGAGGTCGCCACGTGTTGGCTAATGTGTGTAACTTGACCTTGCCACAACCACCTCGGCACAAGCTAGCCTTCCTCTGACTTGCCTTCCCGCAATCTCTATATGGAGACGTCATTATAAGCCATGCGTCTAAGCCGTCAATTTCCTGAACGTGGTTTTCCTCGATGACTCAAGAGAACATCTGAAGTTAGCTACGAGACATAACAATGCATGCAGACATTTATTAGTATTCATTAGGTAGCACATTTCCAATATATTTTTAGAACAAATCTCAAAAAAAAAATAGAAATAAGAGTTCTCTAAAACAGTTTTCAGTGCAAGCAGTCTCGTTAAGATTCTTAAATCACATGGTTTGCATGCCAGTTTCGACACAGATGTAATAAACAGTTATAAAGGCTGTGGAAGAACATCTATGGATTTTTTTTAAGGCTATTGACTGCACGAGGGCTTTTTAAAAACCGCAATTCATGAACACTAAAAATCAAGAATACTTTAATCCCAAAATAACGATTAAAGAAGCTCTCCGTGTATATACGCAGATACATATGGTGCACATACCCTTGTCATGGACCAGGTGTGCTTCTACTTGTCGACCCCCACCATCAACCCACCCACCCACCAACTGACCATATCTGGCTGTTCTCTCACCTTGACTTCAACAAACAGTAAGAAGTCTTTACGTCTTCTGCACTAGTGCAATAATCAACAGTGGTACTTTACTATTCTATTGCCATTTACATCTATAGACATCATATTATTCCCGCAGTAATAATAAAGAAGTCTGCCGTTTCCGCTGTTCTCCAACTAGGCCTTTCCCAATATGCTACCCAGCACTGTGATAACCAATATAACCTTGAGTAAGGCGGAAGTCAAACTCATGAACGACCTTAGCACAAGATTAAGTGTTTGTTATAAAACATTGGAGCTTTCCTTTAACACGTGCCAAGAGTTTTCTTTTCCGTAATTTATGAGGGAAAAAACACAAAAAGAAAGAATTAATTGGATGTAATTAAACGAACCGAGTAATGCTCGTGGAAAGTACTATTCTTTATTATTGATATCGCATTTAAGTTTTTCAAAGAATGAAACCAAACAGCGGCACAATGAGGCCCAGATACTTGTGTATTATTAAGTGGACAGAGGCAGCAGGTGTAGTCTTGCATGAAAGCTTCGCCTTTCTCAGGTATCGGACCCTGATTATTTCGGTATGATCGAATGCTTTGCCTACTGCTTGTGTACTCGCATAATTGAGGTTGAGGGAGCGGAGTATTAGCCATGATTGTACGTATTCATGTTATTTTCTAAGCGTACTACGCAAACACAAAGCTTGAAACGTCACCTTCTCGCTTATGAGCGCCTGTTACCACTCGACCCATAAAAAGTGCTAACTAGATGGTCTATCCAAGGGAGTCTTCCCATGATATAGGTGAAGGGCTCATGATCCAGGGAATCAAAGCTACTCCCAATTTTCTTTGATAAAACATGGCTACCTCTCATTCCTTATGTGATAAAATGACCCATATGGGATAGTAGGACAAGGAATAATAATGAAACGGATTCTAAATTTTCAGATTTTCCCTTAAGCCATATTATTTACCTTTCAACGCTGTGGGCCCATATACTACACAAAGACAATATATAAAGACAATATTTATATATATATATATATATATATATATATAATATATATTATATTATATATATATATATATAATATATATATATATATATATATAATATATAATATATAGTGTGTGTGTGTCGTGCCGAATACGTAAAAAACTTGCGATTCTGGCTTAAATAGCAAAGCTCTTCTTGCCGAATAAGGCAAGCGAAATTCGTGTATGCAATAATTTCGCAAAAAATCATTCTGAACCTAACGAAAAAAATAAATTTAATTGTGTTTGTTTATTATTAAATTATTGTAAACATATCTAAAATATATTTAGTTGGATTAGGCTAAATTAAATTGAGTTTGTTATAATAAGGTTAGGTAAGTTTTCTAAGGTTCTTTTGGTACAAAATCAATTTTTACATTAACATAAATGAAAAAAATATATTTTTAAATGTATAAGAGAACATTTTAGAAAGGATTTAATTTTAAATGAGTTCTTGCTAACTAACCAGTTGTACACTATTCGGCACGACACACACACTAATATATATATATATATATAATATTTTTTTTTTTTATTATCACTCCGGCCGATTCCACCAAGGCAGGGTTGGCCCGAAAAAAGAAAAACTTTCACCATCATTCACTCCATCACTGTCTTGCAGAAGGGTGCTTTACACTACAGTTTTTAAACTGCAACATTAACACCCCTCCTTCAGAGTGCAGGCACTGTACTTCCCATCTCCATATATATATATATATTTATATATATATATATATATCATAATAATATATATATATATATATATATATTAATATATATATATTATATTATATATATATCATACAATCTCTTGTGAAAGTAGCAAAAATTTGAATATCTCCGAGAACATTAGTTTTACCACAGTATGAACAAGAAACACGTCCCTCGTGGCGCTCTTCTTCATAACCCCTTTTCCCACTCAAAATGCTCATTACACTATGTTCTTATTTTAGGAAACGGGGGAGGGAAAAGTATAACATAAGTTCCATACGTTTTATTATAAATTTAGTGCGAGTCACGATAGATAAAATCACAGTTACATCTAGCCAACCTTCAGATTCATAAACTGATTATGCCTTAAAAATATAATGAAAATAAAATTTAATATTAAACTAACGACCACACCATGCAAAATGCAATATAATTTTATGAAAGAACGGGAACTTCAGTATTTTTATTGATAATGATCCATCTCCTGAACTACGCCTTAGCAAGCAGTGGTTGGTTTTCATCCAGCAAGAATGGAGGAACACTCCACAAGCTATATAAAAAAAAGGTACTATGGCAATGGTAATATGGCTAATGATTAAATAATTTGGTTTTTACGTTTATAATTTTTGACACGACAGTGAGACAGTTTACTGTTCACTAAAACTTAATGGCGAAAAGGAAAATAATCATGTGGGTAGGCAAAGTATAACCATAGGGGAACGCTAAACCCATAGGGATTATACAGCGCCTGTAGGTTGGGGGGAATGGAAGATATTCAGGCTCAATTCAGGAACTGGAGCACAGATCCAATTCCCTAAATCAAGAGCCCCTCACCATCGTCAGGAACCTCCTTTGAGGGGATGGGTACGCAAAAACCTGGGACCAAGGCACTGCTGGGGTTACCAGTACAGTTGGGTATATGTTTTTACAAGTTATTTACATAATATTAAATGTTACGAACAAATTCAGTATATATGCTCAGAATATCAAGTACCTTAATTTCATTTAATAAGATACTTTGACTTATCAATATGGTTTAAATATAATTTCTGAAAAAACAAAATTGAAGATGCATATACATATTGGAAATGGAAGCTATATAAGTGGGAAAGATCTTCGGAAACCGTAGAACTGTATGTCTTGTGAGAAGTGTTGGACTGAGTAGTAGTGGTGGTGGTGATGGTAGAGGTTAATGTGATGATTGTGGCTGATGTGATAATGAAGGGTCTGTAGGCTACTGTACACCCAAACGTCACTACCAATGGAGTGACGTCGCCCCTTCCCCCGACCCCAGGATCTCTTGGACGCTCACAAGGCCAACAGCTTTTCTTCAACGTAACGGCGTTCCTCAAATATTACTTATCTAACTTAGGTTTTCAATTTCAATTTCATGTTGTTCATCGAGATCCTTACTTTAAAATCAATGGCAACGCAGGCTTTTTTTTTTTTTAGTTAAGAGCTGCTATCAAAGTAATAAATACATTATGGCACAGAGAGTATCTACGTCTATTTATTAAGAAATCACCTACACTTTCGATTAAAACATCATATGTTCTCTATCAGGTGCAGGCCGTCTCTACATGTGAAATCCATGAATTAGTCGTGAATAACCGATTTGTAATCATGCGAACGAGATCTAACACCAAACAATGGAAAGAAAATGGCCGGGAACCCAATTGCTCTTTGACGAAAACAATTTGCTGTGCTCTAAGTCTGACCAACATTGTTGCCAGCGACTCTCAAGTTACTGAGAGTACTGGAAAATAGTTGAGACTCCTTGTGGAAGATTCACAGGTCCTGATTTGAGAATCGAGCAGCTGTCTTGAATTGAGGATCGAGCAGCTGTCTTCAACTGAGGATCGAGCAACTGTCTTACTGGGATCCGCGTGTCTTATGGGTTTCGAGCAGCTGTCTTCAACTGAGGATCGAAGCAGCTGTCTTCAACTGAGGATCGAGCAGCTTCTTGAATTGAGGATCGAGCAGCTGTCCTGAATTGAGGATCGAGCAGCTGTCTTGAATTGAGGAATCGAGCAGCTGTCTTGAACTGAGGTTCGAACAGTGCCTTGAATTGAGGATTAAGCAGCTAAGTTGTGAGTTGATTGCATAGAACATTGCCTTTGTCGAAGGACCAGCCAAAAAACAACTGTGCTTGCTAGAAATCCCGACTTAGTTGTACAGGTATACGAAGCTGAATTTTTGGATAGCTTGGAATGCACTTTGGGAGTCGAACAAATGAAGTGAAGGCATTTGGAACTATCAGTGTACGTTTAAAGTAACACAAAAATGGGGATTGAAAGTGTTCTTGCAACTGTAACAAACATATGCCTTCAAGTATAGAAAAGAAACAAATCTAAATTTTTTTGAATTTTACGAGGGAGGGGAAAAGCATGATACGAAGTGGACGCAAAACGGGGGGGATGGGGGGATTAATCAGTGTTGCCAGATTGAAGGGTCACAATAAATGGGGAAGACAATTAAATAATTAATCTTAATGAAATTTGTGAACAAAATAAAGGCAATGGGCATCAAGTCGATTCTAAAAATAAGGTGTATTTGCTTCTGTATACACGCTTTCAGTTACAGTCGAAAAACCTGTACACAGACGTATGTCTTTATTTATTTATTTATGTCTTTGCAAATAGTACATTGAGATTATGTATTTACAGTAATGGGTTGCAATGCCTCTATTATGCCTAGGCATTATGGGCAGACTTAACTTTAAATTGGCTTACTGACTATTTAAAACATAAGAATTATATCATAGTTGTACATTTAGATTATTAATTATAAATTAATCTAATGTATATAAGACAAAAGATATATTCATATATTCAAAAATGCTTTTTGTGAAACAATGATTCAAATATATTCCTGTCGACAATGGATAAAAGGTTTGAAAGTAATTGTTGAAATTATGATATGGAAATACGTAGTATGTGAGTACTGAGTGTTGAGCATTTAATCTAGGGTGATTAAGTGGCTTTTGAGAAGTCTTATATTGATTTTCAGACCGGGTTTCTATAATATCTTCTGGTAATGAATTCCTTATTTTGGGGCCCTTTATGTGCATAGAGTTTTTACACACTGTGATATGAACACGGGGTACATCAAAAAGAGATCTGTGTCTTGTGTTATGGTCATGTATGTGTCCTGTTAAGGCTGGTGAAGAGAAATTTGAGTGGATGGTTTATATTTGCGTGTATTGTTCTGTGTATGTAGTAGGCACATGAATAAGTATAGATGTTCTTAATGGTGAGCAGATTTAGACTTGAAAATTGGTGGAGTATGCTGTCGGGAGTGGGAATTTGTTATCATACTGACTGCTGCCTTTTGCTGGGTTATTAGAGGTCTTAGGTGATTTAATGTTGTTGATCACCATGCACAAATTCCATGTGTGGTAAGGGTATATGAGTGAATGGTACAGTGCCAGGAGAGCTGATTGTGGAACGTAGTACCGTATCTTTGATAGTATGCCTACAGTCTTACAGATTTTCTTGATTTGTTGTGTGTGTGTCTGGAACTTAAGGCTACTGTCAAGGTGGATACCCAGGAATTTTCCCTCTGCACGTCTTGTGACTGGTGATCTGTTTAGCGTTATGTTAATTGGATCATTTGCAGCTTTGTTTCCAAACTGAATGAAATAGGTTTTATCAGTATTCAGGGTAAGTTCATCAGTCATCATCCAGGCAGATATTTTCTGCAATTCGGCATTGACAGTGTTGGCGAGTATGATTGGGTTTGGGTGGGAGAAGACGTATGTAGTGTCATCTGCAAATAATA